GAAAACAATTTAGTAAATGATAACACAAAAAAAAGTAATTAAAAAAGATATGTTGGTAATTATGCACATAAAATATACTTGTCGCACCCCTATCGTAGCTATAAGAGACGATTGTGCTAAGATTTGAGTTAGTACAAAACGGATGGAACTAATTTCTTTCAAACAGCACCTAAATCGCATTGTACTCTAATCGTTTAGTTATTCGGTGGTACTCTCTGATTAAGGAAACCAGAACCGGATCGCATTACCATTCGGAGCCTACAAAAATGTTGGGGTCTCGATTCCTAAAAGGCTAAAAACAGATCAATTATTTTGATTTGACATAGAATTAGAACAGAAGTATTTGAGTTACATGTTGGGATGATGAGTAGATATTTCGTCATGCATGTGTGGAAGGGCAAATCGGTAGAGTTAAGATAACATAAAAATAAATATAGGCCACGTAATGCTGAGTCAATCACAGCTTTATTTTAAGGACACTTTGAATTGTACAAGCTACGACAATCAAGCTACCTTTGAGGACAAAACTCATGCGTATTTAAGGTTAAGGACCTATCCCTATTATCGTTATAAATTGTTGGCATATCATTTTTTGGTTGCATTTGTAATTAGACACCAAAAATCGAATTTCAAACAGGTTATAGATTTCTCAACTATTAAATTGTCACATTTCCAAATTAATAAATATCAAGTCTATAAACTGTTTATTAACGCTCGGAGTATTTGGTCTCTTTAATAAATATTTGTTCTTTGGTCAAGTAAAATTTTTGACCGGATATAACTTCTTGACATACTCTTAAATTATGTTCTTCTACCAACGATAACATTTAGGAGGAAAAGTGTCTGAATAAAATTCACCGGAAAAAGAAAAAAAAAATGTATCCTGATCAAATTTTCAAAATTGAGGAGGTTTTTTATTAGTCACATTAATGGATAGTTTTATTAAGTTTAGAAGTCTATACAAACGGTATCTAGAAACGTTTCAAAGATATTTTGATAAACGTTATTTAGTAAAATCCACAAATCTAAAGGAAAGATAATTAATCTAGCAATCATATCGGAAAGGAACTTATCGATTCTTATCTAAAACAATTAAAAACAAAGTCAATATAATTATTAGAAAAATCAGTCAAAGATAGCAAAAAATTACCCCAGAGAATCAAATCACTGAATGACACAATTGATCATCAATTTCCTGGATTTTCTTATAATAAACTTTGGATAAACTTAGATCGTACAAACAAAAACAGAAAATTGTTTTTAGTTGGAATAAATATATTAAAGATTATTATTTTTGAAAATACATAATTCACAAATAAGAACTTATATTTTCTCCACATATCAAGGAGAGGAATTGTCTCCTAAATCACAATCCACTACTATAAATACCCTAAAGTCCTAAACAAATCCATTACGTTTTCATCATAAAAGTATAAAATCAAAGCAAAAGGTGTTATTTTCTCTCTCGATCAATCCTCACCGTTGTAGTAGCCATTCTCTTTTGTTTTTCGTTTCTTCTCTCTAAAAACTTTCTTCGAAGATGACAATATCCGTTGAGAAGCCGATTTTTGGTAAGAAACTAATCTCTCTATTTATTAAATTTTACAGTATTCACAAGAAAAACAATGAGTCAATTATCTAGAAGAAAACAAACTCAAATAATTTCCCGGATCAAACAACGATTCTATAGAAAAAAACCAAGGAAGTTTCCATGGATAATGGATTATTTCATGGTAACAAGATGGATTTTTTTGTTTCTATCAACTATTTCATTTTGTAGGAACAAAAATTAAAATTTCACAGAAAATCTTGATAATATATCTTTTTTTGGTTCAAATAGAGGAGACTTATGCGTTCAAGAAGAAGAGCGAAGACAAGACTGGAGAGTTAAAACTTGAGGGAGGATTTTCAATGCCAAAAATGGCCATGAAAGATGACGACGAAGCGTTCTTAGCTCCAGAAATGAATGCATTTGGCCGTCAATTCAGGGACTACGACTCTGAGAGTGAGAGGCAGAAGAGTGTCGAAGAGTTTTACAGATTACAACACATAAACCAAACTGTCGACTTTGTAAGATCTATGTGCATATATGATTAACGTTGAATACATGATCTTTTAATGATTTATAAGTTTTAAAACAATGTAATTATATTTTGCAGGTGAAAAAGATGAGAGCGGAATATGGAAAATTAGATAAAAAGGTGATGAGTATTTGGGAATGTTGCGAGCTCCTTAATGAGGTGGTAGACGAGAGTGATCCAGATCTCGACGAGCCTCAAATTCAACATTTGCTTCAATCCGCAGAAGCCATCCGCAAAGATTACCCTAACGAAGATTGGCTTCATCTAACTGCTCTTATCCATGGTAATTAATTTGCTATAACCAATACTCTTTTCTTTCATTTTTCAATAAAAATATCTAATCTGGTTTTTGGTTAGATTAAGAATATGACATGTAGAAAGCAAATCGAAATGAATCTTCTTTGTTTCAATCAAGAAAGTTCTACACCAAACCTGTTTTTCTATTATTGTTTTTTATTTGGTTGTGTATCTATATTTTTCTGTAATGCGTTCGATTTGATTGCAACCGATTGGATTAGATACACCTAGTTGTCAAATATCAAAATTGATCATCACATTAATAATTTATTTGATTTTCAGATCTTGGAAAGGTTATTACTCTTCCACAATTTGGAGGACTTCCTCAATGGGCTGTTGTTGGTAATTAACCCAAGATTTATGTGAATAAATTTTATTTTCCTAATTATATATTAATTTTTTTCCCTCTCATAAAAACCTGCAGGTGACACATTCCCTGTTGGGTGTGCATTTGATGAATCTAACGTACACCACAAGGTAATTAATTGATTCAACCTCGTAAATTGTCAATATTTATGATTTAAAAAAAAAATTATTACACCCATTTCATTTTTTTTTTCTAAATTGTAAATTAGATTTACCGTTTCTCTTTTTTCTTCGGCAGTATTTTCTGGAAAACCCAGATTTCTACAACCAAGCCTATAACACCAAAACTGGGATTTATACTGAAGGATGTGGATTAAACAATATCATGATGTCATGGGGACATGATGACTACATGTACTTGGTAATTAATTAATATTTTTCTTTCATTTTAAGATTGATAATATTTCAAGAAACTTAATTTGATCAATCTTGATTAATATAAACTGTAAAATGATTCTATAATGGGTAATTTTTTTTCTTTTTTAATATATAATCTTAGGTGGCTACAGAGAATGGAAGTACTTTGCCGTCCGCGGGAAAGTTTATCATACGATACCATTCTTTTTACCGTAAGCACATCAATTAACAATATGATTAAAGTAACATTTTAATTTAATAGTTAAAACGTAAAGCTTATTTTAATTAGTTACATATCTGTAGCATTGCACACGGCTGGAGAATACACCCATCTTATGAACGATGAAGACAAAGAGAACCTCAAGTGGCTACACGTTTTCAAGTAATTAAATTTCTTATGCATGCTTAAGTCTTAATCATGATAACTAGAATATTCACTAAATTGTTAATGAATTTACAGCAAGTACGACTTATACAGCAAGAGCAAAGTTCACGTTGATGTTGAGAAGGTCAAGCCCTACTACATGTCTCTTATCAAGAAAGTGAGTATATTGCATGTTCTTCACACACAAAAAAATAACAAAATAATAGTTATTTGAAATCATATACTATATATTGCTTAATTCTTCACTCATTACTAATTCTTCTCTTTTGGTTTTACAGTATTTCCCGGAGACCTTGAGGTGGTGAACTCTGCCGAGGAAAAAAGTGGCTATGGAGGATTAGTCGTTTAATTCACTTGCACATATTTACACACTGTCGAGATGGTGTAACTGTGTTATATATTATGCTCATCTTATGTTAATTATTTTTATTCAGTCGTCTCTTAAATGTAATCACAATAATCCCTTATGAATACTAAAGAGGATGTACTCTGGGATGATATAAGATCTTAAATACTAAAATTTATTTATAATCGAAAGTCTACAAATATGGGTGGGTGAGCTCATTGCTAGAAATGAGTGTATTATGTAAAATAGACAAAATTTTACTAACAAAGATCAAGTGTAATAAATGAATATTTACAGACACATCGTCATCTCTTGGAGACATCTACAAGTAGGCCAGTCTTATTGGCACCAAATACCGATTATATACAAAGAGTTGTCGCGTCTACATTCTAATAAAATAATAGCATCGAAGAAAAAGTAGCTAGAAAGGGTATAGCTAGCAACCGCGAATAACTGATTTGATATGTTCACTCAATTCTAAAATTCATCTCTCACTGTTTATGACGTTAAGCTAATCTAACCTAGTTTGAATCGATTGATTAAGTAGTGTGCAAGAAAAAAACAATCTTAACTCATTCACTAGTCAACTACTCTAGTTCATGCAGTAGATGTAAGTTTAGATGAAGAATTGTATCAAAATATTATCCTATTAATCCTATTTATGGAGCCATGAGATTCCTCTCGAATTATTTCTTAAACCCAACGAATGATTACTCACAGTGGATATGAAAATTAAAGCAACAACAATAGATAAAATTATATTCAATGAAAACGATAGCCAAAAGGTCTATAAATTAAACTTCTCCAAAAGCTACAAGGAGACGATATCTTCTCCTTTATCGAGCAAAGTGTAAAAGAAACCTAAATCTATTTAACTTTTGGTGGATGTGAGGAATTGAAAAAATTCCCTAACTTTGGTGGCTTCTCTGTGTTCTCATAGGTGTGGAAGTCGGCTAGCTAGGTTATATTCCCACAAGATTTAGGAAAATAATCCATAAACTTGAAATATTCTTTTCGTAAGGACGATCGACCGATCATCACATGGGGATCAATCGATTGTCACTGTTTTCAGGTCATAAAAGGGGGTGCAATGATCAATTTCTCGTCTACTCATATGCGTAGTTATCTTGTAGTCAGAACGACTAATCTTCAATAAATTGAGTATATTATAAAAATTTACCGTTAAATTTACTTTAAGCAATTTAAAAATGAAAGGTGGCACCTTAGCTATCTTGTATTCAAAATTTAGCTTGCTCCGACGATAATAAGGTTTCGGTTTCCATCAGATGCAAAACTTCTTAAAGACAATCTTCAAAATACCATTTTGCATCATTTTTGTCCAAATTGTTCCAATTTCTTGTAAAGACTATAAAATTACAAAAATACTAAACACATCAATAACATGCCAAAATCAAGTAGTTTATTTAAACACACACACTAAAACAGTAAACTCTAATGTATATCAATTAT